TGCTAAATACATATTTACCTCCTTTTTTGCACCAATTTTCGTCCCCTTTTGATGTGTTCCACTTCTTCATTTCCAGGGAAGCACACAATCATGAGTCTCCAGTGATTTCTGAAAATCATAAATAGACAATACAAGTAAAATAAGTTTTGATAATTGCATATGTGCCATTCACAGTGCTACTATTTTAAGGGGCACCATCACTTCCATTATTATAAATGTTTAAATGGGCATCTAATATGTGACATGAAAAGTTAATTAGACTGGTTATTGCAAAATAAACCCCAATATGTGTTGTTACTGAGAATCAACACACTGTTAGAAGGTGCGACTGGCCATTCATATTTGAGCTTTACACAGAGCTGTGTAATAAGTCACAACAACCAGTAAATAAATAAAGTTCTCACCTAAGAACATTCTCGACTATCAAAAGATAGTCCTTTCGAAAAATGTCCTCATGTTTTGTCCAGTTGATGACACCATAAAATCCACTAAAATTGCACAGATGACATGATAAATCATGTGGTTACAATTATTCTTCAATAATAGGATTCAATATATAACTATGACACTACATGGCTTCTTCCAGAGCCATGCAAGGCTAGACACTGTAGCATGAACATCTACAAATATATAAAGAGAAACTGGCTGTGAAATTCAAATTCATTTAATGATCCCTTTATCTTTCTTAACATATCAGTAACTCCTACCTGGTTTTTAATTTAGTGTAAAAATGCACTGGGTAGATCAAAGATTTCCGCCTTATATGACGTCCTAATTCTTCATGAACAGACCTAGAAAGATTTAGTTGAAAATTATTGCTAAGAATATTATGATTTGCAGTTTTATGATGCTTCAAAAGAGTTACCTCAATGCAATGTCTATGACAATGTCATTCAGCCACATTCCATCATCTAGTGTCGCAAGTACTCTTTCGTCAATAAGGGCACACGGAAGGACCTCAAAGGAAAAAAAGGAAGAAAAAAACAACAAATTTTTGTACAAATGTTGCAATAAAAAAAACACATTTTTGTACAAATGTTGCAATAAGTCAAATTTCTGGTTTATATACAGACAGACAATATTTTAATAATATTTACCCTTTATCTTTCTCCATAGATGATCTGTACAAAGAAGAAAATTAATGTTAATTAAGAAATTTGAAATTGGTTTCATATTGTGATCATCTTCAAATGAGATAAAACTTATTGAATGAGCTATGAGGTATGATGCGCCTGGGTCAACAAAATATATTGTATTATTATGATTATTTAAATACAGTGATTGATTACTGCCTTATATTAGATGAGTAATAAAGAATGATGTCCCTGAGTCAACATAAAAATATGATGTTCCTGGGTCAACAAAATATATTTAATTATTATTATTATTTATATTATTAATATTAGCCTATATAGAGAAATATTACAGTTTATTTAATATTAGATATTATATTATTATTATGATTATTTAAATACAGTGATTGATTACTGTCTGTCTTATATTAGATGAGTAATAAAGAATGATGTCCCTGAGTCAACATAAAAATATGATGTCCCTGGGTCAACAAAATATATTTAATTATTATTATTATTATTATTAATATTATATAGTGAAATATTACAGTTTGTCTAATATTAGATATTATATTATTATGATTATTTAAATAAGGAATGATGTCGCTGGGTCAACACAAGATATTTAATTATTATGATTACATAGATTACAGTTTGTCTTATACTAGATATTATATTATTATTATTATGATTATTTAAATACAGTGATTGATTACTGTCTGTCTTATATTAGATGAGTAATAAAGAATGATGTCCCTGGGTCAACATAAAAATATGATGTTCCTGGGTCAACAAAATATATTTAATTATTATTATTATTTATATTATTAATATTAGCCTATACAGAGAAATATTACAGTTTATTTAATATTAGATATTGTGTTATTATTATGATTATTTAAATACAGTGATTGATTACTGTCTTATATTAGATGAGTAATAAAGAATGATGTCCCTGAGTCAACATAAAAATATGATGTTCTTGGGTCAACAAAATATATTTCATTATTATTACATTTTATATAAGGCTACAGTTTGCCTTATGGGCCTACTAGATATTGCATTATTATTATGATTATTTAAATACAGTGATAGATTACAGTTTGTCTTATATTAGATATTGTATTGATATTATTTTGATTGAATAACCCGCATTATTGGTAGCCTATTTGGTCGCATCCGCTAAAGTGTTTTGCTTTTCTTTTGCAAAAGGATTATGAGGGTCTGCTAAACGAATGCAGGGGAAAAGTGATATACATCAACGGGAGAAAAGATCCGACGATACGATCACGGGGAAAACACCATACCGGGTCGGATGACGAAACGATCTCGGTCCGATAGGAGATTTGCACGTTATATGAGCAGTTTAGTTAGTGTTAGCGTTAGTAATGAATTCATCGTGAAATTAAAAAGAATACATTACACTGAGTAGATACAGACACGCATTTGAAATTATACATTTTATAGAAATTGCACTTACCTCTGTGAAATGAAGTAGAGACGTTGATGGCTGGCAAATTTAAAAAGTAGCGCTCAATCTGGATGATGTCACGTGATGAATCTGATTGGTAGATCAATTTTACATAAGCACCTCCCTTGTTAACCCAGGAACGCGTCTAACTCGGCAGAATCAGGACGTGCTAATTGCACATAAGGGAACATAATAAAACAAAACAAAAAACCATGTAATGACCCCTTTAAAACCAAACTGGTTGTCTGTAGAATTAATAAACACATTTAACCTATCTAACAAGATTTTTTCCAATACTGCTCAGTAGACAAAATACTAGCTAAAGCTACAGGTCTATAATTATCTAAGTTATCCACCATTCCAGCTTTGTTTTTAATAACTGGTACCAATAAGATAGATTATAGATTATACGTCGTGTTTATCCACTAGACTAGAGACATCAGAGCCAGTGGCAAACATCAGAAGGACTAGCCGAGGAAAAGCTGTTCCAGTTGGGGTTAATGAGCGTGTTCACCCGGTGATCGCCTGGATCTCACAACTCCGAAAACGTCAGATACATTTTTCAAATAGGCGCTTTGTGGTTTATCTTTATAAATAAACCGCAGATTTGAGCTTTAAACAACTACATTATGCAACAAAATTACATTTCATGACACAATAACAGTAGTATTTTGATATTACGCGGGTTTTCTCCTCTGCTATATTACTGGTTAGTGCGAGATGCATTCTGGGATACCTGTATCTTTTAAATTGATAAACATCATATGTGTAATTCAGGGCACAATTCAAACGAGATCAAAATATGTGTCTTCTCTCGCCATTGGGCTACTGCTCCCATCAACTCAAATTTGCATGCGGCTAGGGTCAGGACAGATGTCATGTCAACAATATGGCCGCGGTTAGCTACTTGATTTTTCGGTTCTTCCCATGATTGTCAACTGGGTAAAAATAAAAATGAAATCCAGACACAGTATCTGATTGATGAGGTTATAAAGAATGAACTTCTGTAAATGAGTTATGTTACATACCTGCAAAATAAACGTTTAATGTTTGTAGTAAGTTACTTGGATCATAAAATTGTCATAGAAAATGTTTAATAAAGTATTATAGAAATTGGTGGTTATTGTTCATTAGTGTTTTTTTTTTTTTTTTTGCCAGCTAAAAAGCACTAGAATAAGAAAAATAAAACATGTCAATTTGACAAAGGTCAGACATTTTTTTATTGAACTTCTGTTACTATTGTCCCCTTCACTTCTAAAGAAATATGGTGGTGATGGCTGGTTTATTTACTTTCCTACACGTTCTAGCTGAAGTTGCAAGACTATTTACACCTTACAACAGAGGAAGAGGATTTGCAAGACGAACAAGCTTGCCTGTGATGAGTCGAGCAGTATCCTGCAGCTTTACCCATAACTTCTGCTGTCTTGATGACAAAAATGCAGATTTAGTACCCAGTCCTAAATGCAGATTTAGTACCCAGATTTAGTCGCTGTGCAAAAGACAGGTTGTTCTCTGCTGGGTTAGGGGAGAAACGTGTCACCTGTCGAGGTATGTAAAATAGCAGCTTATTGGAATGTTATTGTTTAAAAGCAAGGTTTTCTTGACCACATTTGGATTATTAATTAAGTATCGTCTTTACTGTTAAAGGGATACTTAAGCCAACAATTTTTACTTTTTTGTAAACCTGTATAAACTTCTTTGTTCTGCTGAACACAAATAAATAATTAGAAGAATGCTTGTAATGGTTTGGCACCATTGTCTTGGCACCATTGTCACCAGCAAACAGTTTGGGGCACCATTGTCTTCTATGTCTGTTGCCTTTGGCTTGCTCAGTTGGGGACATTTGGGGACATCCAATTTAAATGAATCAATCAACAATACTATTGATCAGCCTTACCAAATGTGGACGTTACCAAATTTGTTTTTTTTTTCACTAGAAACAAACCTTATTGTATTAATTTAATTTAATACTGTGAAGCTGATTTGATACAATCTGTATTGTGAAAAGCGCTAAACGTGACTTGACTTGACTTCTATAGTAGGACAAAATAATATGGTTCTCAGTGGTGCCCCAAAACTGTTGGTTGCAAATATTCTTTTAAAAACATTCCTTTAAAAAAAATAGTACTGTCTGTCATTAGTAATTTTAAATACAATTTTAACAGAAGTTGTCTGGAGCTTTAAAAACTGAACTGTAAGTCAAAGATAAGTGATAACTGTCAGATTTGTCCCAGTATCTTACATTTGATCTTTTTATTATTATTTTTATTAAAGGGTGCCATGCAGATCCCCAAAAATGTAAGGATGTCATCTTGGAGGCTTTTCCAAAACTCAGACAAGGTGGTGGGTTTGAGTTATTAAAAATATCTGGGAACACAAGGAGCCGTTATCTCAGCCTGATACCCTGTCCAAATGAGGGATACAATGTTAAGTATTTGAAAGATCCTCAAAACCAAATGCAACCAATTTCATTCGTCCACTTCAACGTAACATTGAAGTTGAACCAGTAAGTTACATAGTTTCAAACAGGGAATGTTTTAACATTTACATTAAACAATGAATGACATGCTATTTTGTTGTGATGTTTTCTTGCAGGCGAGTCTTCCTAGCAGAGATGAGTTGATTGGACCACCTCAGAAATGTGTTGTGTGTGGAGATGAATTTTCCTTTGCAGCTATCAAGTCTCACAGTGATGAGTGCGGGAGGTATTTTAGTTTTTTTTTTTTTTATGTGTAGTCTCTTATGGAAATGTTTATTTATCCTTGTTTTGGGTTTACAGGACAGAACTATTATCTATTGAGTTACAGTAGACTTTGTCAGTTTGAACCAGTCAATGTATATATAAACCCTCCTAGTTACTAAAATGTCATTATTAGGGGTTCAAGCACTAAGTGCTGAACCCCTATTGTAATTGTACTGATTTTTATTATTATTATTATTTTACTCTAAAACGCATCGTGCAGCCCAAACCCTAAGAGCTGGAGCCTTGAAACTTTGACAGATGGTAGTCCTCAATTTGGGGAGAACCTATCAAAGTATGACCCGAATTGGCCAATAGGTGGCGATATAACACAAAAAAACATATAAACACCTGACCGTTTGTCCGATTGACTTGAAATTTTGTATACAGTGTCTTGGCCCAACGTGACCCAATTTAGGTTTTTCCAGCTCGAAAGTCTACGGAGAGTCTACGGAGAGTTGCTAAACAATACATTTTGCTGCCGCTAGGGTGCATCTAGATTTATAGGCTAAGGTGCCATATATGTCTAAAAGGGTATTGGCGTATCTCGAAAAACATGGCCGCCATCGGCCAATGAAGTTTGAGCACCTATTAGACAAGGTTAACGGTGGCCAATCAGAACGAAAAATCGATGGACAAGTTCGGCTCAAAGCCCTAGAGGTCTGTAAGAATTTTAAAAGAAATCGGCCACTAGTTGGCGCTAACGAGTTTTAAGGCTGTAATCATGTGGTGTTACAAATATCGTCACAAAATGCATATCATTTGATAGATCTCCTCATGCTGAAGAACTTTGCCTCAAGAATCACTGCTGTCAATCAAACCGTTCATTAAATATTCGTGAATATGTTTAAAACCTACTTTTGCGAACTAGTCCCTGGTTTTTCGCCGATCGGAACCAACCCAGTCTAGGACAATTCTCTAGATCAATAATTATCGAAAAAAAGTTGACCTTTTCCATTTGGATGGCTATAACAGGAAGCCTAGAAATCTAGACGCACCCTAGCGGCAGCAAAATGTGTTTTGCAGCCAGGGTCCAGTCTAGCAACTCTCCATTGACTTTCGAGCTGGAAAAACCTAAATTGGGTCAGGCCAATAACATCGTGTATAGAGTAGGCGGGGCGGGCTTAACAAAATGATGACAGAGTTGTGACGGTTCCTTCTGTGTGAATGAATGCTACTTGAAAACAAAGAATGGCTGATGACGGACAGCGGTCTTTCGAATCGGCTTTGGCCGCGACTCTGGAGGACTTGGATTTAAGCTTTTCTTTGAGAAAAGAAGAACGGGACTTAAGTCTTTCTTAAAAAAGGAAGATGTGTTTGTAGTTTTTGGTAGTTTATCATATGGTTTTGCCGACCAGATACGGCAAAATTTTAATCTATCAACTGACTTTAGCTCCGTGGTTGGGAAAGCGCTCTGGTTGGTTGAAGAAAGACAGCTATTTATCCCACCCCTCGTATTGAGCCGTGTCTATGGTGAGTTGCCAGACCAAACATCTTGATGTAGGTCTGGCTTGCCAGGCTATATAACAGGGTCATTTAGAAAAAAGGCGCATCAAAATACACTCAAAAGCCTATAAATCCTATTAAAAAAACAGAACTTCACAAAAATTGGTGGGCATGGCAAGTTTTATGGAGATCGGACCATAGGTGGCGCTATAACTATCAAAAAGCTTTGAAAACCATACATTTCCTATGGTAAATTGCCTGTATTGGCTGTAAATGGACTTTTCCATCTATTATTTCAGTGGTTTAAAGCTTGCTAAATAAAACTTAATGTCTTTTGATGCTTGTGTGCTTAAAGGCCTTAACTGCTTGAACACCGCTAAATGCTGCTTGCAGCTTTAATTGTTGTTGTTGTTGTTGTTGTTGTTTTTAAACCCTTTAAAGGCTAAATACACCCAACCTAAATACAAGTTTTTCATTCATCTTCACAACACAAATGAAGATAAATCTGACTGTCCCTCCATTAGACAGAATAGTGTCCATTGAGAACACATATTTCATTAAAAAGATCTGGAACAACATGAGAGGGATGAATTGATGACAGAGTTTTCATTTTGCCTTTAAACAGTCTGTGTTTACCTCTTTTCTGAAGGTCAGTGGAGGTCAGTGGTGAGGTAGTGAGTGAGAGAGCTACAGAAAGGGCCACTTCAAGCAGCACTGAAAGTACAGTTGTGAGCTAAGAAAGAAATGTTGTAAATCCAATGCAAGATCAAGAAAGCATGACAGTTTCACAGCTCATCACAATAGATGAAGAGAGCACTGAACTTGATGGTTTGTATAGTCGACTTGCACAATCTATCTTTGAATTATGCATTCATTTATTTTTAGATTTATTTATTTCCATAATTAATAAATTAATCAGAGAAATACAGGTATAGAACAAACAGCAAATCTCATAATGTGCATTTGAAAACACAACATGTGCCTACGGTCTTCAAATATTACGGGTCATGTTTGTCCTTGTTTTTTGGGTTTTTTTTGTCTTTACCCTGTTAATGTTTTTTTTTTGTGGATAATGTCTCTGGTTTTAGATTGGAAATTTGAGCAAGATGCAACAGAAGCCTCAAAGAAGTACAGAGAAAACCTTTTGAAGACCTTTTTAATTTTTCAGATGGACATGAGAGACAGTCCTGAAGACCGGGAGAGAGCAATCTTGACTTTCTACAAGATGGCAAATGTAGAATGGGCTTGTCCTTTAAAATGTACACTACATGGTAGGTAAAGTAAATCCTATAATGCAGGGGTGTTCAGCCCTGCTCCTGGAGGGCCACTGTCCTGCAGAGTTAAGCCCCGTTTACACGAAGGGAAGACGCAGATATTTCCCTGCGGATTGTCCTCTCAGTCACACGAAAACTCAGTTTTTATCACAGAAAACGATTATTTTTAAAAACTCCGGCCAAAGTGGAGATTTCTGATAACGCCGGTTATGTGTTGCCGTGTCAACTGGGAGAAATGGGGTTTTAGGTTCTCAAACGTCACATTATGCGCCAGAAAATGCTTAAGGTCATGTGAGTGCCCTATGGCATAGTTATGATTTATGTGGGTTGATGTAAATTACAACTTTTTTGAAAACAATGTTGTGTCCACAATGAGGGTGAAAAGGATCACTTGATTCCCTCAACATCACAGAGTCTTCTGGATAGTGACTTCTTTGTGGTGGCAGGCCATATAATCGGACACTCATTCCTGCATGGTGGCCCATGCTTAACTGGTTTAAGCCCAGCAATAATCCACGTGCTTTTTGGTAGAACCCCTGAAACTGCCACAATAGATATACTGGACTGTGTGGACACTGATGTCCGTCAAGTAATAGAGATGATTAGTTAATCTTTACTCTTATTAATTTTCATTAAATGTATTAGCTGGGAATAAAAATGTACTTAAACAAAAACAAATACACTGTGCGGCCAAAAAAAAGTAGTTATTTGGATTTTATTAGGCAAATACTTCAGAGACTATGATTGGATCATTATTGCAGTGATTATTATGTTTCTAGCATGTTATATGTTTGGCAGCAGTTCTTCTAACCCTCATTGATGGATTGTGTAGCTTTTCATTTCTTAAACAACCATGTAGGAAGAAACATCATGACCATATTCCAGGATGACAAAGTCCAGATTCATCAGGCTCAAATTGTTAAAGAATGGACCATTAGGATTAGGAATAATTTTCACACATGGATTGGCACCTTTTGAGTCCTAACATTAACCTCAGTGAAAGTATTTTGGATGTGCTGGAGACTTTACAGAGTGCTCACCTCTTGCGTTGTCAAGATTTCCATTACACGAGAGTAGATGTTAAAACTTCATGCTGATTTGTACTCGGCTTTCGCCAAGATAAGCAACACTAAGACATAGCTTTACAGTAAACTATGCTTCATCCATTTACGCTTCTTTCCATATGGTGGTGTGACTCCCCTTCTGTCCGGCGTTAACGGCTGCAGTGTACTTGGCGCGTCAGCACACACGACGGCTGCAACTACAGTGTGGTCTCCCTAGTGGACCAGCACGACAACCGTCTGGATTGAGCCGAGTAGGGGACATCTCTAGGGTCTTCAAGTGGGCACCTTCCGTCCTCAGTGTTTCGTCGACTAGCCCACGACACCTCAAGAGGGCTTGACAGTGACTCTGGCGTCCCAGAGTCACCCCCCTCCGTCCCCCACTCAACTCAGCCCAGCTTACTGACCTCTACATCCCTCCTGCTGCTGAGACCTAACCACAATCTCTCCGCAACCCAACCATACGCGCCAACCCGTTTGACTAAGGCTGTCGAGCCCCACTGGAGTGGGGCCCACAATGCAGTTTCAGTGGCAACGGTTCCGTATGGCATACCACCTACCGCAAAACACAATATCTGCCCAACCACCCGTCATTCACGCAATATACACAGGAACGTAATGACTGTAAATACTATACAACCTATACAAATAAACCAACAGACTCTTCAAGTTTTCAAGAATTCTACGAAACCGTAGCGTGGCGGCCTGTACACAGCCAGCTAGAATCTTTCCGTCTCAACCACAGCCAGTTGCTGCTCCTTTCTGCTGCTTCAGATAAATTCTTTACTGTGCGACGCAACACTTGGCCACTGAATCCGACGTCTCTGAGGAACCGGGTTGTAGAGTGTGCCACAAAACCTCGAAAGAGAAATACAAGATTTACTCTTTTGCCTATTAAAATCCAAACTGACACTTTTTTGTGCCAGGCAGTGTTTTATTTATGATTTATTTTATTATTTATGACCAGTTGGAAGGCACAGGTGAATTATCAGAGGAGGAAAAGAGGGCTATTACAGACCTTGCAGTGTCCTGGGATTTGCCTGGTGTGACATCAGAAAACAGAAGATGGCTGCTTGACAAACTGCTCATTCATGCAGTGAGTATGCACTATTGGTTGGAATACTCTTAACATTTAGAAATGTAATGTATGTTTCCATTCCAAATTAAATTATGTGAAGGTCCTTGAAAGAACCTCCAAGCAAGTAAAGCAGCTTTGGCGGAGTTTGAAGGAAACATTGATCTGGCCTTTGCTAGCTGAGAGGAAAGACACTATTCCTCTTCTCTTTCCTAGGACTTGTGATACAGTATACACCCCACTGGTAAGAAATGGACCATTTATGTAATGTTGTTGAGATCTACAATTCTTTAGTAATGATAATTTTGTCAATGTGTCATATGGTTTTAGAGAGGATACTTTGGCCAACACATGATGAAGACAGCGAGGCCTCTCTTGAAGACACATGTAGGCTAACCGGATTCCTTCGCACCTTCATTGGAAATGGTAAGTATATGAGAAATCAACTGACTTTTTGCTTTAGATGCTGGATTTTTTTAATTATTTTGTGTTTCTTGAGGGGCACTTATGTTAATAGGGCTGTCATTAACGATTATTTTGGTATTCGAGTAGTCGGTTCATTATTCTGATGAATAATTGAGCAATCAGATTTTTTGTCATTTGTAAGTGAACAACAGCCTTTAAAATTACTTAGAATACAGTTATTTTAACAATTATTAATAACAATAAGGCAATAACTGGTTCAAAAGTAATAATCATATGGTTTATTAGAACAAACCTGTTAAAACACAGTGCAATATAATATAAAGAATATAACTAATGTACATTATGTATTATAACAAGAGCCTGCAGAGGACGCCCGTGGTCTAATGATTGTCTTTACACTTTACCTCACAATCTAATCCTTGTTTAATATTGGCTTACATTTAAATCAAATGTCCACTTAATTTTGTATATTTGGACATTTAGAAATGCTACATCCACTGTAATTTCTTTAAGTTTCAAATTTCTTGAACAAGAACATGCTGAACTCAGAGTGAGGGTTAACCTTTATTTTGAAATCACAATGAGCAGTTAGCATATTTTTAATTAACATTTAAATTCAGTCTGTGATGCTACAAATGCTTTTATTTTTATTTTTATGCAGCTTCTTGTAATATCTTACGGTTTCTAATGAAATTCTGGACTGGATGGGATGTGCTACCCAGGAGCCTAGACGTCGAGGTGGTGGATGGAAACCTACCCAAGTCTTCCACATGCTATCAAACTCTCAAGCTTCCTAGTCATTACAAGGACTACGCTTCCTTTGAGAGAGATATTTTAGCTGCTATCTGGAGCTCAGATTATGGATTTGGAATGGTCTAAGTTTATGTTACAAATAACATCAGATGCCATTTTTCAAAATGTTTCATGTCTAAATCGGATATTTAGTCAGAAAATCTCAAACATGTTTGGCATGCTGCAATGTTCAGAGTAGAGACCTGCGCGGGACACAATTTTCAGACCCGCTCCCGCAAAGATTTGTCATTTTTAGTGCCACTCCCGCCCGCATCTGTGATATAATGTCCCGCTCCCGCCCGCACTTTCTGTCTGACAAAAGGTCTTGGGGAAAAAAATGCGTGCGCACAAAATTCCTTACCAATACTTGGTAACATATTTATTGGTAAGCCTGCATATGTTCAACCATACAAAACATTAAATAGGCATCAGTAACTAACGCCAACAAAGATAAACATTAATCGGCCCAAATTACATTAGGCTTAACGTGTAACATAAAAACAGCCATAGGCATTACCTACACCATAGGAATATTTGTAAAACGGATAATTCTTATCTACTATATTATAGACTTCACTATATCACAGGCCATTTAAACATTTAAAATGTGATCACAAAACACGAAACCGTCCCATATTAGGAACAGCATAATATTCACAACAGTACTAACAGCTAACAGTAACCAAAAACAATATATTAGATTAGGTAATATTATTATCTATCTAATATATAGCTATAATTAGATAATGTTCCTGTCACATTATAGGCTAGCCATGAACTAAAACATTGAGACTAAAAAACTATTTGGGCTTTGAGCCGCTCAGTGCAGATGTTAAAGTGAAAATAGCCTGTGTGCCTACCTTTTAATTTTAATAATAATAATATGAATATGAATAATAATAAGAAGAATAAAAATAAAAACTCAGCAGGTCGCTACCAGCATGTCTAAATGAAAATGATCAAAATAAAGGTAAAAGAAGCAGCTGCTGCTTAGGATATCGGGTTCTTTGAATAACCATGAAGGAAAAGTAGGTTGTTTACTGATGAGGGCTTCAGCACACTGCGTCTTTGCTCCAGTATGCGACCACAAATGCTGAAAGCCCGTTCGGACGGTGCGCTGGAGGCTGGGACACATAGTACATGGCGTGCCAGTTTGGAAAGTGTGGGAAATTCAAAGCAATGTTTCTTCCACCACGGGAGGATATCTTTGGGTTGGTGTGATTCGGATCCATCCAGTTTGACTTTCAAATACTCCACTATCTCGGAATCTACAGACTTCTGCGAGTCAGTACACGTAGCACCTACATCTTCCCATTCTTCAAAATCACGAAATGTCACCTTTTTAGGCTCAGAATTTTCCTCAGCTTGGACATGAAACCCCAAGTCCTCAATCAGCTCTTTCACAGCTTCAGTCACATATTGTCTTTCATTTTCATCGACCATCTTAAGCTGACGTAGTTTGGGAGTCAGGAATGTTGCTACTTTATAGAGCATGTTAATTCCATTTGGAGCAAGGTTACTTGG